AACAAGTAATGGGACAGGAGCCTCCCACAGAGGGCCTCTGAAAGACTCTACCTAACAGTGTATCAAAGCAGATATTAAGACTCATAACCAAACCTTTGGAAGAGTGCAGGGAATCATAAGAAAGAAGGGAGAGTTAATATGACCTGGAGAGGACAGAAGCTCCACAAGAACCACATATATCTGGGCACAGGGGTCTTTTATGATACTGTTTCTCCAACCAAGGACCATGTATGGATGTAACCTAGAACCTCTGCTCAGATGTAGCCCTTGGTAGCTCAGTATCCAAGTGGGTATCTTGATAATGGGAACAGGGACTATTTCTGACATGAACTCAATGGTGGGCTCTTTGACACCCCCCTCTGAGGAAGGAGCAGCCCTGCTAGGCCACATAGGAGGACTTTGCAGCCAGTCCTGAAGATATCTGATAAACAGTATCAGATGAAAAGGGAGGAGGTCCTCCCCTATCAGCGGACTTGGAAAGGGGCAGGGAGGAGATGAAGAAGGGAGGGTGGAATTGGGAGGGAAAGAGGGAGCAGGATACAGCAGGGATACAAAGTTAACAAACTGTAACTAATATTAAAAAAAATTAAAAAATGGAAATAAAAATTGAACTTTTGGTTTAACAAATTAAATATCAAACAAAGAGCTGAGGACACAGGTTGTGGATAGGGTACTCTAGCTTGCTCAGTGCCATGGGTTCAACCCCTAGCATCACAGAGCCATTACCAATAAATATCATACCCTTAAGGAAGGTGTTCTAAATGTGTATAATGTCATGGACAAAGATTCCAGTGAGAGAATATTCTAGGAAGTTATGTTTTGTGAAAAACACTGCTTATAATAATAATAGCTCAAAAGAATTAGTTCAAATATGAGGCTCTGTTGAGTAGGCCAACATTTGAAACAAATATATATTTTTAAATATAGGATTTCTAACTCTTTTCTGTACAGGTTAGGACACTGAAGCCCCAGAGAACTGAGGTGACAAGCCAAGAAGTATAATGCTAAACAGTAAAAAATGTCTCCACAGTAGCATACTACCAACATGGTCACTGGAGACATAAGAAGGCAGAAGAAATTAGATTTTTTTAAAAATATTTTACCTATTATGTCTCAGATTTAGAAATGATCACATAAGCAACTGGGGTGGAGTGAGGAGAAGATATATAGAAGATATATACCAGAGAAAGTGCTCTTAGCAAGTAAGGAGAACAAGGCAGACGTACCTCCCCAACAAATGCAGGATGCCAGTCTCAAGCTGGCCCACCCTCTGGCTCCCTCACAGGGCTATTTCAATGCTCTGGGCCATGCTGTGAGGGCTTATCTTATCTTAACAGGTTGAAAGCAAAGAATTACAATGATACCCACCTGGAGCTTTCTCTCTGTCTTCATTGCTTTCAGTTGTTTATCTAATTCAGAATTGTATAAATATCCTCCCAAACCAATATTCCACATTTGATTTCATGTTTCCCAATGCCTGTTTTATTACAGAATCCTCTATAATATGCCTGGAACTATAACTCTATAATGTCAATTTAAGTTGATTCCAGAGTGTCCAGTAGAGTCCTCACAGATGGGTGAATATTTTGTCCTAAAGAGGGAAAAAATGTGACTCAAATAAAAATGTACAGTAGACTAGATGTTTACAAGGAGTATTATTTTAATAAAATTTTATGTATATATGATGTACTTTTCCAAATCCAAAGTTTTCAATAGCTTTTTGACACTGGAAATTATTTAATATTCATTTTATTGAAGGAAAAGGTATGTATTTCAGATACTGTTACTCTCATGATATAGGGCTACTTTAACTACTGCAGTCACTACAACTGAAAGGGAAGATTGAAGGAATTCATCTGGAAAGCAAATTGCCAACAGTGCTTCTAGCTCAGAGTCAAAGACGAAATATGTTCCTTGAACCCACACCAGAAAGCTTGTTTCTCATTGCTAGCAGCTAGAATTTCTCTTTTTAAGCAAACAACACACCAGTAAAGAGAATGACGTTAAACAAAAAAATATTCAAACTTCCATGTAATGTAGATAGCCTCAGTAGTATAGAGAATTAGAGGCAAACATTTAGCTAATTTTATTGCAGAAAAGCAAATGTGCTTTGTTTTGAAAACCATGTTCTTGAACTTAAAATTAGCTTCACCTAATTACAGCACCTTAATTATTAAAGCTTCACTTGTTTCCTAATCATTGTTTTTATTAAGACCATTCATTTTACCATTTGAAGTCAGCTTCTTGTTGTATTTGACCCTTGTTTGCTGTCTTTCAGCAATCAGCAACACCTCTGCTCTCTGAGGCCAGAGACTTTGTTAGTTTTGTGCACAGGTATATCCTAGAGCCTAGAACAGTGCCTTGAACCTTGCGGGAGCTCCATTACTATCTGTGAAAGTAATGAATGAGGTCCCATATCAGGCTAAAATGTAGAGCCTGGAAGAGGATTAGGACTGCAGTAATATAGAATAAACAGAAAACATCATATCTTAGCAAAAAAAGAACTTCATTCTTAACTGAGCTCATATGCTTGCAGAAACAGCAAAGTTGATACATTTTTAAATTTTGAATGTTTATACATGTGATGGTGTGCGTGCATATGCATGAGTTTTGTATGTGATTTGTGTCATGTATGTCCACAAATATGTGAATGTGCCTGTAGATGCACAAGGGTGCAGAGAAGGATGTCAGGTATCTTGCTCTACTACTCTTCAATTTATTCACTTGAGTCAAATCTTTCATGGAACCTGGTGCTAGCCTGACCATAAAGCCTGAGTGACCCTCCTGTATCCATCTTCCAGCATGCTAGGGCCACTTCACAGCAACTTTTCATGTGGGCTCTGGGATCTAAGCTCAGATCTAAGCTGAGCATCAAAATATATGACACTGTCATTAGGGTTATTTTTATCGAGAAGCAAGAAGCAAGCACAAGAAAAGCTCTCTGCTTCCCCTTCATTTACCTTAAAGAAGAAAATACAGTTAGGGAACAAACCTTGTCCTCTTGCTATCAGGAAGAATGATTGTTGATCACAGAAGGGAGCTTTCAGCATATCCAGACTGGATAAGGCATCACAGATACCTGGGTAACCCCCTTAACCAGTGAGACTCTGGGCATCATTTCCCTGGTTTCCTGCATCATGCCAGCTCTTCCTGCATCATGCCAGCTCTTCCTGCATCATGCCAGCTCTTATATACTCGAGATTCTTTTTGTTCTTCAGTTTTCCCCAAACCTTACTGTTGTTTGTCAAAGATGCTGTGTATAAGTTTTCATTCAAATCATATATTAAAATGTATTCATTTTTCCATGGGTTTCCCCTAATGCGCATGAAACACATGTTAACATGCGTGTTTATTTGCTCTTTTTATTCTACTTCTGTTACAGAGAGTCCCAAGAAAGAACTACTAGGTCAGAAAGAAAATTGCTGTTGTCTTTCTACAAAGGCTTAGTCTTCTAGATAAGATAGACATGAGTCCAAATTTATCCATTTTAACAATATTTTCATGCACTGACTAATTTCTCGAACTTCATTGAGTCATAGGTCTCCCTGGGAAGCAAGGTCATATTATTTCTTGAGATGTTGACTACATTTAGCATAATAAACATAGAATACCTATTTCAATGCCTGGAACGTAATTAGGGCACAATGTGGGTAGTTATTATGATTAAGCTAACTCAAAAATTGCCAAAAGGTATTTTTCATCATCATAAAAATTCATTAAAAAACTGAAGCATGTGAAGCTTTTTTGGAGTTTAGTAGTTTTATTTCTTTTAAGGTTCAAATGTTAGACTTCAGAGCATAGGGCTGACCTAGTTAGTTTCATTGTTAATGTGACATACCCAGGAAGGAGGAATCTCAAAGAATTGCCTCAATCAAGTTTTACTGTGCCCATGTCTCCTCCCAGTCCCACCCACCTCCCTCTTCTCCCCCATGCCCTTTCCCTAGTCCTCTGATAGGCGAGGACCTCCTCCCCTTCTATCTGACCCTAGCCAGGTCTCATCAAGGCTTGCTGCATCATCTTCCTCTGTGGCCTGGGAAGGCTTCACCCCTGGGGGGAAGGTGATCAAAGAGCCCGCCACTGAGTTCCTGTCAGAGACAGCCCCTGTACCCCTTACTAGGGAACCCACTTGGAAACTGAACAGCCAATGGACTTCCCCTGAACAGGTGGTCTAGGTGCTCTACATGCATGGTCCTTAGTAGTATTGGTCCATGCAGGCCCCCTGGGCCCAATTATTTTGGCTCTCAGGTCTTTCTATCTTCCTCTTCTTCCATAAGGTTTCCGGCACTCTGCCCAGAGTTTGGCTATGGGTCTCAGTATTGCCTTTGATACACTGGTGGGTAGAGTATTTCAGAGGTCCTATGTGCTAGGCTCCTGTCCTATTCCCTGTCTTCTCCTATTTCTGATGTCTATCATGTTTGCCCTTCTGAATGAGAATTAAGCATCTTCCCCAGGGGCTTTCTGGTTTAGCTTTTTTAGGACTATAGATTTTATTATGTTTATCCTATAATATATGGCTAATATCAACTTATAAGTGAGCATATATCATATGTGTCTTTCTGCTTCTGGGTTACCTCACTCAGGATGATCTTTTTTTCATACTTTTGTGTCACTATACTTTGAACATGTTCACCATCTCATTGGTTACCTTTCTTCCTGTTCTGATACCCGCCTCTCCTCTCTTTTCCTCTGTGTGTGAGTGTTTCTGTGTGTGTGAGTGTGTGTTTTTGTTTTCTTTCCTCTTCCCATTATCTTTCCTTAAGAATCCAAAGCAAACACAGTCCAGCAGTTACAAGCACTTGCAGTTCTTCTAGGCTACAGGAGCTCAGCAACAGAGAGTAATAAAGGTATGTAATTCCACCTCCAGGGGCTACAACTCCCTTTCTGGCTTCTGTTCACACACACACACACACACACACACACACACACACACACACACACATAGTGCACAGATGCATATAGACATATACATACAGATAACTAAATTATTTTTAACACACATATACTTGTACATTTATGTTTATTATAGCACTGCACACAACTGACAAAAATCAAAGCAGCCTAGATGCCCCTCAATTTATGAGCAAGTAGATAAAGACAGTGTGGTTTATACACACAATGAAGATTGAAACATCCATAGAGAAGAATAAAATTATGTCACTTTCAGGAAAATGGAACCAGAGATTACCATGCTAAGTATGATAAGCCAGATTTAGAAAGAAAAATATCACAGGCTTTCTTTTGTATTCAGAATCTAAATATTTTATAAGATATGGACATACTATGGAAAATAGGAATGGGATTATGTAATGAGAAATAATAGGTCAAAAAAAGGGGGAAAAGAAGGGTTCTTTATGGAGGACAATCTTGGCTGTATCTATCGATGCTATGCTATCTAGTTTTTCAAAATTTACGGGTAGTAATCCTCTCTAATCACATTGACTTGGTTGCCATTTTTATATAAGCAAACTAAGAATTTTATCAAAGTTTTCAGTATTCCTGTTTTCCATATACATTTATAGAATAAATCAGTAGGAAAAATGATGATAAATCCCAAATGATACAGAAAAGTACAGACATTATTATAACACAAGGAATAACACAATTAGTGAAATACACAAAACTTGTACGCTGGTCATAGATCCTAGGATCTCTATACCACAACCTAGAGAGGAATCTACCATGGGCATTCTTTCTTGGCTTTATTCTGCTAAGGTCTAGATAAAACTACCATGAGTGGGAATCCAACAGTTCAGTCTTTATATTTGATATCTAAATTTATTTTTTTTTTGTGTGTGTGTGTGTGCATGTTTGTATGTGAGAGAATGTACATGTCCATATATGCATGCATATGTGTTTGAGGGTGTACACATCTGTGTATCCATTTGGACACATACATGTGGAGACAGGAAGGCTCCCATTGCGACATCCTACAGACACTATCCACTGTTTCTGTTGTTGCTGAGACAGGTTTCTCACTGGCTTAGACCTCCACAAGAAGGCAAATATGGCTACCCATTGAGTCTCAACGAAAAGCCTGGCTCTGCCTCCCCAATGCTGCAAATATAAGCATACCAGCACATTTTGCTCTCTTTACCTGGGTTCAGCAGCTGAACTTAGGCACTCGTGCTTGCAAGACAAACACTTTACCAACTGAACTATCAGCCCCTGCCAAACAAATGTGATGTCAAATTATCTTAGAATTTTTTTGAACAATTGGGATTTATTTATGTTTTATATAGCACAGTTCTTTAGAAAAGCATAAGAAGGAAAAGATTTATATTTGTCTTTACTTATTTTATATGCACAGTTTTAATCAGAAAATGTTCAAATTTTTTTGAAATGATGAGATTTTACCCGTCAACCATTTTCTAAAGATTGTCATGTATTACGAGACCATGATTTTTATTCACAGTGAATCTAAATCTCTCCCTTTCATTGTTTGGATGTCAGGATCTGTCACCCTTCCCATAAACAAAATCGATTCTAGAAAAAAAGAAAAAAGAATACTTTAGAAATTTCTGGAAGAAAAGCAATAATTATTTTCTTCACTATTTAACAATGCTTTACTCATTCTTTTCTACAGACAAAGTCTGATAGCAAGACCTTCTCCTTTGTCTAAAACATTTAGACCATCATTAATAATTTCAGTAGTTTGAGAAATATATAAAACCTTATAACACTTTGTCATGGAAAATGCATTAGTCTTGTTTTCCATGAGAGACTTTTTCTAAATATGGAGCCCAGCTAGGCAATCACAGCATAATAAAGTAGTGATGAGCACAGTGCAGCTTCAAGTCTGAAGAACTGGCAGGCATTTTTTTTTTTATGCACAGAATATGAGCCTCAGGGTTAAAAGTGCAGTTTCCCCAGGCGTCCTTTAGCATTGAATCAAAGCGTACTTCACTGCTAAAGACAATATTTTCATATTGCTAGTACTTTCAAGTGCTCACCAAATTGATATAGTACCAAATACAAGTACAAACACCTGTTTCCAGGCAGTCTGTGTTTGGCAGTGAGTGGAACAAAGAACAAGAGGACAGACCAGGAATTAATGATGCATCAAACCTATTCACCTTGGATTTCACCTGGGAAAAGGAAGTGGCTGAGGATCAATGACAAAGACTGCCATAATCCTCTTAATTGCAGATTGATGAAGGTTAATCTTAAAGGTGGCAAAATAAATTTTGCTTAAGTTAAAGCTAAATTAAAGCAGTTAGATATATTAGAAATAACAGCAGGAAAGCCCTATGCTTAATTAACTCCTTACCATTTAATCAAGAGACAGACACATGAATTTGAAGGAAGTGGGGAGGGTCATATGGGAGGAATGGATGTATGGGAGGAATGGAGGGAGGAAAGGGAAGAAAGTATATTATAATCTCAAGAAAAAAATACAGAGGTGCTCATAAGAGAGTCAGTGACATGAATGGAGATATAATCCCCAACTGATGTTTTTTCTTTTATTTTTCTTCAAATCTCAAAATTATATCAGGAAAAAGAAGAAAATAAAGTCAGTTTTCTGCTAAATGAGGATGGACCTTTCTCAGGATGATTAATGAATTTAGCCACAATAGGAAGCATCACTAACGTGGGTCTCCATAACGTTCTGTCATAAAATACTTCTCAATAGTTGGGAGGGTTTCAAGTCAAGTTTACAGGTAAAAAAACATCAAATAAGATTTAAATGCTGCAGTGTACAACATTTAGCGAACACCACCGATCCCAGTGTTTTCAATCTGATTATTTCACCATAGGGAATCACACTTTGAATGGATCTTTCTATGCAGTCACTGCCCTGGTCTCTACTAAGTTCTGAGAGTTGGTGGAAGTCCCTTAACAAAAGACCAATGGCTGTAGAGAGCAGGATGAACAGGCAATAGTGCCTGCATTGTCTCCCCTATATGTGTGTCCACTACATTTAAATAAATTACTTACTCCAGCTTTCCATCCAAGGAAACAATTCGTAACTGCTAGTATTAAAATGCATAACATTACCAAAACATATAACTAGATTCCAAGATTTACTCATAAATATTATTCAAGATGATTCTTCCTTTAGCTCAAACCCAGAATTCTAAATGCAATAATTTTTTGGTTCAGGAGTACTGTCATCTTGAAAACTGTGACTCGGTACTTCCTCAGAAACAGCACATTTCATGGACTGTCTTTGATAATTTTCATCTGGCAGCCTACAGAGCTGGTGTACTACCTCAGCTTAGGAAAACAAGTGAGTTATTTCTCTCCTGCAATTTTAATAGCTGCAGATAAATACACTGCAATGTACCCTTAGCATGAAAATCCAGATAACATATAAAGTTGTTTTCCTTACATGAGGAGTATTTGATAAAGATAAAAATTTAAATCCAGATTTAAAAAAATGGTTGTACAAACCTAAAGTCATCTGTCTCCATACTTCAAAATTGTCAACTGAAAATACTTTCTATAAAGCTTAAGGCTACTTCATGACTTGCCAAGTCAACATGTTATTCTTATTATCTTGTGGAGTTGATTTATGAGACAGAAAAATAAATCACAAAAGGTATCCTGCTTTAAGATAACAGCCTTAATGATTTTTTAAAGATTTTTTTAAAAAAATTTCTTTATGCACGTTAGTGTTTTCCTGCATGTGGACTGCATGTGGACTGTATGTGGACTGTGGGGGCGGGGGAGGGCTGTATGGAAGCTAGAAAAGGGTGTGTGATTGGAACTAGATTTAAAGACAATTGTGAGCCACCATGTATATTCTGGGAATTGAATGCAGTTCCCGACAAGAACACCAACTGCTTATTCTCACTAAAGTATCTCTTCATCCCTATTCTAAATTTTATATCACAGTTCATACCTCCTCGCAAATGAGGGAGCACTTGCATTAAGCAACACTTTAAAGGAATAACTCTAGTTGAGAAAGCTTCATTATAATAATGGTCATAGAAATTGTCACTCAGGTCTAATCGTTAAACATTATCACAAATGAACTAGTAGATGGATTTTTTATGTTTGGAATTTCCACTGCTGTAATACAGGATGAAATTACATGGCCTTAGAACAAAATCATCAATTTAGAGAATAGAATCAAACATAATGAATCTAAATGCCATTTACTTATGCATTGATGTCTACTATAGACTCATTTCTTTCTATTCTTCATACTCAATAATTACATACACTAATTATTAAAAATGAAGATTGTTCAATAGATAAAGATGTATGAATCAAACAGTATACTCGAAATGTCAATCCACTACTGAGATTTAAATTGTTTTAATAAAATCTCAGTGATTTTAAAGCTGTTTCAATATTCTAAGAATAAATCTTTTAAAAAGGTCCACTGGCATTAGCTTTATAGAGCTAGAAAAAAAAAAGGCTAGTGTATCTTTTATTGTACCACAATCAAAATCTCTAGTTAATGTAACAAATTCACATTCTTAGACTAACTATGTCTCTTTTCCTTATGAACCAGTTCACAGAATCTTTCCAAATACTTGTTCTTCATTTACTTTATGTTTAGTGACATATTTTTAATGAGAGCCTACTATGTACTAGGTAGGATGTCATAAGTTTCTAAATTATTTTATGTTGTTTTTTAAATATTCATATTTATAAGCATGAAATACAGAAATGTAACTTAGGAGAGATGATCAACATGAGTTGAGTTCTTAATTGAGCTGGAGTATTAGTGAAGGTCTGATCCATGACCTCATGATGTGTAGGGCTATTGACATTTTATCCCAGGCTTTTTGCCATCCTCGAGGCTGAATGAAATATTCTGCATTTCCTGTGTCTTGTGACTCTCACAGGACACAGAACATTGTTGTTGCTATCTTAAGGATTCCCTAAAGATGACTTCCCCAGTGTTTTCATCTCTGGCAGATCTTTTTATAAAAGTGAATGTTGACAATCTATCCTGACAACCTGGGTTTGTATATTCTGCCATTGGGCCAAATGGCCATCTATACTGTCACTACTTCGCTATGCCCTTTTGTACCCTATCGAACCCTCTTTTGGAGATTTGAAGTCATGCTTGGTCCCACCTTCCTTCTCAGGGCCTCTATGAGTCACTCTTCTCAAAACTCCACTATTTCCAGTTTCCATGTAGCATCACAGCAACTTAACCTCGCTTGTCACGCTGCCAGCTTTTAATTGTATGGTGCTAGGCAAGCTACATTTTCTGTCTCTGAGCTTCTAAATCCTTATTAGTCAAATATCTAACTGCTGGGGCTGATGTTAGCTTAATACGTGGAGCAGCTGTGCCAGAGACCATGTTACCACTACCCTAATTCAGGCTCTCATCATAGCTTATAATACCATACCTGATGTACAAAAATGCATTTAGCAAATCCCTATCAAAAGAAGATATGATTTCACACATGTGTATAAAACTGACAGCTTAATTTAACCAGTACCTACAAAGAGATTTCAAAAGGAGTTACCTGTTTGGGTGTGCTTCATAATAAACAGAAATGGATGATTTGCTAGAAACTGAGTTTGAGTCAAACTCATGATTGCAGGAATGTTCATACCTATGGAATAAAAGACATCAGTTATTTACATGTTTACACTTACTATATATAAATAAATTATATTATAAATAAATAAATTATATTATAAATAAATATATTATATTATAGTAATTTTCATAGACAAAAGGACTTTGCATAATATATCCTAAACACAAAGAAATTTGTAATTAATCTTAACTCTTCATACAGAAGACTAAATATTCGCCTGTTCATGAATTCATTCTGACTTCTCATTTCTGTTCAGTGAGGAAGAACACCAAATACTAGATTCAATTTAGTGGAAGAAATGAAAAATGTCATATTCTCAAAAGTAATTTTCTGCCCACTATTTACATTACATGATCTGTTCTTAAAATGCTTCATCTTTTAATTCCTTTGCTGACACGTTTGCACTTTTTTGTTGTAGTTCAGACTGTGAGGATCGCATCTGTGTTTAGAAGTACTTATTTTATACTTACATTGCCAGAATTACTTTGTGATCTCAGCATTTCTTGTGTGTGTATATATATATAATTATTTTATTATAATAAACTATATTTTACTATAAAACTAGAAGCATATATTTTCTTATAATTTTTTTGTTATGATAAATCAAATTAGTTCAGCTTACATGGCATTTGTCAATAATATTGGAAGTTTTAGTGGTCAGACTTTTTTTCTAGTTTTTTTTTTTTACAGTAATCTCATTTTTACACTAATTTCAAGTACTCTTCAACTCAGATCTGACTGGGCTGGAGCGAGATCTGAAAGTGGCAATTTCTGAGTAGCTCCAATGTGATGCCCTTGCTGCTGGTCTCTGAAATGCATTTCTCGTCTCAGTGTAAACTGCATCTTAGTCACAACGGCCCTGGACCCAAGGAAAAATAAAACAACATGTGTATTCAAAATTGAAAAACAATGAAATATAATCTTACTAAAATTGCATGAATGATGCTCTTCTATACTGAATAACCATGACAATTCCACCCAAATTACCAGTGGATATAAGCTCATGTCTGAAATGTTGAGATAAATCAAAAAAGTAAAGCCAATTTTACTTCCATTCTCCTTTTCTGTGAACACTTTTTTGTCCCTTCTTGTTCTTGAACAACCCCAGAGCAACATTCTTTAATGTCAAAGTCTCAGGCTATTCTGGGGCATGATTCATCAGGATATCTGCTGACTCCTATTTCCATCTCCTAATGAGTGTAATCCTCCTCCTGGAGAATTCTAGCTTTACAAGGAGAGGCAATGTGCAATAGCAAGATGGCTTTGAGCTAAAACCAGGGAACCTGAGAGCAGCTTAAAGTCTGTCAATTAACAGCATGGCCCCAGGCAAGTGGCTTCACATTTCTGAGGCTTTTTCACTAATATAATTAGGAGGTTGCTCAGTAACTGATGAGAACCCATTCAGCATTGTGTAAAAGCAGATGAAATTCTGTGTTCATGAGACATTACCCTTATCTGAATACATAGCTCTGGTTTCTCTAAAGGTTGACAGCGTTCATTCCTTTCAATCTGTGTTTCTTGAGCATAGCAACACAACTCCCTTCAAGGAATGGCAAAGATAGCCCAGGGTGTCCCACTTAGTTGTCAAAATTCATGGTACAATGCAGCACTATGAATTAATAAAGAAATCACCAGGTGGATATAGTTTGGGAGTATTTATCAATAAAATTTTAAATAAAATTTAAAACCTTTTAAATTGTGCACATTTTAAAGCAGTCATTTAAATCTAAGTAGTGTGGAAAAATTAAAACAGATCTATGAAGGAGGCATGACTTTTTTCTTTTTCTTATTTCTGGTTGATTTCAAGCCTTTGCATCCATTATCTTTTCCAGCATTATTTACACACAGCATAGATAGTATTCAAAATACCACCTATGCAATGTAATGCAATCGGGAGATTATTCTTAACCTTGAATGTACACACAGGCCAACTAGTGAGTTCGGGTAGCCAGGATCTGACTGACTGAGTGGCTCCTGAATGAGACTTGAAATTCTGCATTTGTAACAATATGTGAAGCGCTTGCGCTGGTCTGCGCATGTGCAGTAGTAAATGCAGGCTGCGAGTCACAGAGCAGCGCTTGCTCTAGATGGACATTGACTGAGACCATGCACGGAAATTTAAGAAAAACCTTAGAGTTTGGACCTCACCTACAGAAACACAGATGTAACTGTTCTAAAGCACTGTTTGGGCTTAGATTTGTTAAAAAATATCCAGCTGGCTCTAATATTGCAGCTAAGTTTCTGAACCTCTACCACGAAGATAATAACAAGAGTTGAATTAGAAAGCTAACCGCTAAATCAATATAATTAAGAATAATATTAAAGAGGACAGCGGTACTGAGCACTCTTAACAATGAAGATTACATAGAGTCCTGACATTTTCTCCCCAGATCCTATGTGCTAATTAGTAGTTATTCCAATTTGCATATGAAAAAATATGAATAGATGACGCTCAACTGTTAACCAAATCTTTTCATTTCACATTATGCTTAAAGAACACACACACACACACACACATATATATCACATACATACACCTTCTTCCTTTATACAGAACAAGAGAAAAGCGAGATTGAAAGACGGCAGAGCACCCCAAAGCCTCCCCCTGCTCACCACTGTTCCTCGCTTCTCAAGAATCTATTTGTTTTACCTGTGGATGTTGCAGCTTCGCTTCCATCTTCATTTATCTCAAAGAAAACTTTCTGCATGACTTTGGAGACATACACTTCAGATGAATCTGATGAAAACATGAAGGATTATTTAACAGTTAGAATCAAAGTCTTTGCCATTAAGTTTAAACAATTATATGTTCAAAAATACAGGAATGGTAATTGAACAAATAAACTCTCTCTAATTTAGTCACTTTTCTGGAGATGTTTAGGGTAACTATAAAATTCATGAAATATACAGATAGGACAAGTTTGCCCAGACATAAATTGCAAAGGCAGAAAGGTATAACCCTCAAATCAGGTGCCCTACTATGAGGAGGATTTGAATGGAGACTTCCCACTTCACCATAATCTACAGAAAGAATCTACAGAAAGATCAACATCAAAGCCAATTTGCTTTTTAAATTATATATTCACATCTGCTCTGATGTTAAAACAAAATTTATTTTCCTTCAAAACTGGTTATGTCATAAAAGTCTAAGAAGCCCCTGTGTCGTCTGTCAGAAAAATCACTTCAGAGTTGTGCATTTTAAAACCCCAATAAATGTTTTAGTGTAGGACAGTGTCTAGCAACATTTGCTCTGTTATGCGTGAGTGCTGAGGGGTCCCATTTCCCCACTGGTGGAACTGATGTGAAGTGTTTCTGGCATAGTAGCATCTTAAAAGTGCAGTCATTAGCTATATATCATATCAAGTCAGCTTTGCAGGACCATATATATCTATATAATATATATATGATTATGTAATTGTAAATACTTAAATTATATAAATATATGAATTATGTAAATATAAAATAATGTGTATAAATAATTAATAATTTATAAAATGTATAATGATATAAATTATAAATATACAATTATATTTACATACATACAATTTATATATACTTATATATATATATACAATATAATTTATAATTATAGTTTCAGTGTGGATTTTTCAAAATACAAGATGACACATGTAAGGATTGCTTATAAGAATTGCCGGTTAGAATGCCACCCGAGACACACTAGCTTAGAACAATGAACATGAGTTCTGTAGACTCATTACTATCTCTGTCTTTGTAGTAATCATTTCTTTTAAATCTCCATGAAAAGATCAAAGCCTACGAATTTTAAATTAAGGAGCCTACAATATTTCTAGTTTTTCTAGATGGTCAAGTAAAATTTAAGTATTTAATGTTTTATTTTTTAATTGTGTGTGTGTGTGTGTGTGTGTGTGTGTGTGTGTGTGCGTGCGTGTGTGTGTGCGCGCGCCTGTGTAAATATGAATGTATGGAGGTGCTGGTAGGAGGGTGTCAGATTCCCTGAAAGTGGAATTACAGACATTTTTTTGTGAGTTGCTGTTGCAGGTGCTGGCAACCAAACTATGTCTTCTGCAAAAGCAGCAAGCAATCTTAACTACTAGGCCACCCCTCTATGTGCTAGATGATTAAGTGGCCTACATAATTTCACTATTTTCCAAAGATCATTAAGACATATTTTCTCTCTTAGATTAGAAAGTTGAGGCTTCTAAAAATTAAGGCATTACTGAACATGACTTAGGAACTAATAGCGTAGTAAAAAGTCAAATTTGAATCCCAAAGTTTCAACGGTATAAAATATTTTTTTTAATTTTTTTATTTTTATTTTATTTTTCTTTTTAGTTACATTTTGTTAACTCTGTGTCCCAGCTGTATCCCGCTCCCTCATTCCCTCCCCAACCCCACACTCCCTCCCTGGTCTCCTCCCTGCCCCTTTCCAAGTCCCCTGATAGGGGAGGACCTCCTCCCCTTTCATCTGACCCTGTTTTATCAGGTATCTTCAGGGCTGGCTGCAAAGTCCTCCTCTGTGGCCTAACGGACTGCTCCTCCCCTGGGGTGGGGGTCAAACAGCCTGCCCTTGAGATCCTATTAGAAATAGTCCGTGTTCCCCTTACTTTGGAAAACTACTTGGTTACTGAGCTACCACAGGCCACATCCGAGCAGAAGTTCTAGGTTATATCCATAGATGGTCCTTGGTTGAGTGTCAGTCTCAGAAAAGACCCTGTGCCCAGATATATTTGGTCCTTGTGGAGCTCCTATCCTTTCCATATCATACTAACTTCCCTTCTTTCATATGATTCCCTGCACTCTGCCGAGGGTTTGGTTATGAGTCTTAGTGTCTGCTTTGAAACACTGCTAGGTAGAGTCTTTCAGATGCCTTTTGTGATAGACTCCTGTCATAAGTTCAATGCACATCCCATTTGTCTTTCTAAATGAGGATTAATCACCTTCGCCTGTGTCCACTTTCTTGATTATCTTCTTTAGGTGTGTAGATTTCATTATGTTTATCATGTCTTGTAGGTCTATATAAGCGAGTATATACCAAGTTTGTCTTTCTCCTTCTGGGATACTTCACTCAGAATGATCTTTTCTAGATCCCACCACTTGCCTGCAAATTTCATGATTTCTTCCTTTATGATTGCTGAGTAGTATTCCATTGTGTAAAAATACCACAGTTTCTGTATCCATTCCTCCGTTGATGGACATCTGGGTTGTTTCCAAGTTCTGGCTATTACAAATAAAACTGCTATGAACATGGTTGAACAAATGTCCTTGTTGTGTACTTGAGCAAATTTTGGGTATATACCTAGGAGTGGTATAGCTGGGTCTTGAGGTAGCACTACTCCTAGTTGTCTGAGAAAGCGCCAGATTGACTTCCAGAGTGGTTGAACCAGTTTACATTCCCACCAGCAATGGAGGAGGGTTCCCTTTTCTCCACAACCTCTCCAGCATGTGCTATCACTTGAGTTTTTCATCTTGGCCATTCTGATGGGTGTAAGGTGAAATCTCAGGGTCGTTTTGATTTGCATTTCCCTAATGGCTAATGAGGTTGAGCATTTCTTTAAGTGTTTCTCTGCCATTCGACGTTCCTCTTTCGAGAATTCTCTGTTTAGCTCTGTTCCCCATTTTTTAAGTAGATTACTTGGTTTGTTGCTTTTCTGCTTCTTTAGTTCTTTATATATACTTGATAATAGCCCTCTGTCAGATAAAGGGTTGGTGAAGATTCTTTCCCAATCTGTAGGCTGTCTATTTGTTTTGATGACAGTGTCTTTTGCTTTACAGAAGCTTTTCAGTTTCATGAGGTCCCATTTATTGATTGTTGCTCTTAGAGCCTGTGCTGTTGGTGTTCTGTTCAGGAAGTTGTATCCTGTGCCAATGAATTCTAGGCTGTTTCCCACTTTTTTTTCCAGCTGATTTAGAGTATCTGGTTTTATGTTGAGGTCCTTGATCCACTTGGACTTTAGTTTTGTGCAGGGTGATAGATATGGATCTATTTTCATTTTTCTGCATGTAGACATCCAGTTGGTCCAGCACCATTTGTTGAAGATGCTGTCTTTTTTCCATTGAATGGATTTGGCTTCTTTGTCAAATACTGAGAATTCATAGGTGTGTGGGTTTATTTCTGGGTCTTCTATGCGATTCCATTGATCCTCCTTTCTGTTTCTATGCCAATACCATGCAGTTTTTATTACTGTTGCCCTGTAGTACAGCTTGAGATCGGGAATGGAGATACCTCCAGATGATCTGTTGTTGTACAGGATCGTTTTGGAGATTCTGGGTTTTTTGTTTCTCCATATGAAGCTGAGAATCTTTTTTTTCAAGGTCTGTAAAGAATTGAGTTGGTATTTTGATGGGAATTGCATTGAATCTGTAGATTGCTTTTGGCAGGATGGCCATTTTCACAATGTTAATCCTACCAATCCATGAGCACAGGAGATCTTTCCATCTTCTGAGATCTTCTTCAATTTCTTTCTTCAAAGACTTGAAGTTTTTCTCAAATAGGTCTTTCACTTGCTTGGTTAGAGTCACACCAAGGTACTTTATGTTATTAGTGGCTATTGTGAAGGGTGTTGTTTCCCTAATTTCTTTCTCAGCCTTTTTGTCTTTGGTATACAAGAGGGCCTCTGATTTTTTTGAGTTGATTTTGTATCCTGCCACTTTGCTGAAGGTGTTTATCAGCTGAAGAAGTTCTCTGGTTGAATCTTTGGGGTCGCTCATGTATACTATCATATCATCTGCAAATAGTGACACTTTGACCTCTTCCTTTCCGATTTGTATCCCCTTGATCTCCTTTAGTTGTCTTATTGCTCTGGCTAGGACTTCAAGTACAATGTTAAAGAGATATGGAGAGAGTGGGCAGCCTTGTCTTGTCCCTGATTTCAGTGGGATTGATTTAAGTTTCTCTCCATTGAGTTTGATGTTGGCTATAGGCTTGCTGTATATTGCCTTTACTATCTTTAGGTATGTGCCTTGTATCCCTGATCTCTCCAAGACTTTAAACATAAATGGGTGTTGGACTTTGTCAAATGCTTTTTCAGCATCTAAGGAGATGATCATGTGGTTTTTCTCCTTCATTTTGTTTATGTGGTGGATTACATTGATGGATTTCCGTATGTTGAACCACCCTTGCATTCCTGGGATGAAGCCTCCTTGGTCATGGTGGATGATATCTTTGATGTGTTCTTGGATTCGGTTTGCAAGTATTTTATTGAGTATTTTTGCATCAATGTTCATAAGAGAGATAGGTCTGAAGTTCTCTTTTTTTGTTGGATCTTTGTGTGGTTTAGGTATCAAAGTGACTGTGGCTTCATAGAATGAATTTGGTAGTGTTCCTTCTGTTTCTATTTTATGGAATAGTTTGAGGAGAATTGGTGTTAGTACTTCTTTGAAGGTCTTGTAGAATTCTGCGCTGAAGCCATCTGGTCCAGGGCTTTTTTTGGAGGGGAGACTGTTAATGACTGCTTCTATTTCCTTGGGAGATATAGGACTATTCAGTCTTTCTACCTGATCTTGACTTAATTTTGGTAGATGGAATCTGTCAAGAAAGTTATCCATTTCATTTAGATTTTCAAATTTTGTGCCATATAGGCTTTTGTAGTATGACCTAATAATCGTTTGGATTTCCTCAGTGTCTGTAGTTATGTCCCCATTTTCCTTTCTGATTTTGCTGATTTGTATGGTTTCTCTCTGCTTTTTAGTTAGTTTGGCTAAGGGTTTGTCTATCTTGTTGATTTTCTCAAAGAACCAGCTTTTTGTTTCATTGAT